TTTTTTTTTTTTTTTTTTTTTTTTTGCATCTTATTATTGTAATTCATTTATATGTGTCCAAATATTAATTTCCTAATGATATATTGTAATTTTTTTAGGACAACGGATTCATGGTTCGACGCCCAATTCGTTGGCAAAAAAATTCAAAGACTTCAACCTTACCGAAGGACACGTGTATATCATTACAAGTTGGGAACTCTTGGAGGACAAGAGTGCTTTCAAATTTACCGAATCAAGTCACAAGCTTGAGTTTGGTAAAGAGACAAAAATGGATGAGGTGGTTGAAAACAACTACCCGAGATTGTTGTTCAACTTCAAAGACTTCAAAGAACTATCCGACCCTCAATCAATCGATTCCAATAAAATTTTTGGTAATTCTTTTTCTCTTGATGGATTAATATTATTTCTCTTTTGTTACAATGTATAAGTTTAATTTATATTGTTTAATTGTTTAATTTTTTAGATTTGATTGGCCGTATCGCTTTGGTTCAAAGCGTACAAATTACAAATTCAAATGGAGTGGAAAAGAAATTCATAGACAATGTTCTAGAAGATGTTGCGTAAGTTAAAGATTATAAGCAATTTTTTACATTTCAAGTAATTACGATTTTATTTTTAACTAAATATTCAATATTTATTTCTTTTTTCAAGGGGGCGCCATTTGACTTGCACATTGTGGGAAGGATATGTGCAAGTCATTGTTGATGCCTTGAACAATTCTCCGGTGACGAACTTGCGTGTAGTAATTGTTCAATTTTGCCGAGCAAGGGTTTTTGAGGATGGTACGTTCTTCACATTGAATGATTTTTTTTTATCCTTAAAATTAATATTGTTCTCTAAATAATTTTTTATCTCCTTTAGGCTCTATAAAAGCTGGGAACATTTTTGATGCTACAAAACTTATCATGGGTGATGCACCCGAAATTTTGGACTTCAAAGAAAGGTAATGATATTTATTTTATTTTGTATACTTTCTTATTGTATCATAATATACTTTATCAATTGATTAATATATTGACTTTTTCAAATTTTATTGGTTGAATATAAAGGTACAACTCACACATAAGGCCAAGTGAGTCAACTTTCCAATATGTGAGGCCCTTCATATCTAATATTGGTGAAGATTTGGAGTCGAAAATTTCTCCAATAAAGAGTGTGGCTGATTTTTTGAATGCTAATGAAGTAAAAATAATATTATAAATTAATTAACTAATATATATAAAATTATTAAATCTTCAAATTTCATAATTAATATTCGGATCACTTATATGATATATTATTTATTTTTTATTTTTAGGAACGTAATTATTGGATCTATGGCAATATCATTGACATATCTGGCAATTTTTCTTCAAATCTTGCCCGGAATGTGTTCGGAAAGTGGAGCCCAAAGGAGAGAGTTTTTGGTGCAATTATTGCAAGGACTCTATTCCTTTTGCGATTTTAAGGTAATTGTATCTCTCATTTTATAATTATAGTCTATAATAATATTATCTTATAATATCTTAATTTTAAATGTTAAGGTACAAGCTCCACATTTCAATTGTGGACGACACGAGAGTTGTACCACTTTTGTGTTGGGATAAAGTTTCAAGAGAGATGATTGGAAAATCTTGCGAAGAAGTTGTCAACAACATGTTGAAGGCATGCACCCTTTTTATTTCTCTAAGTGCCCTAATGATTAGTTAAATTATCGTTAAATTTATTATTCTTATGCTGAATTATACAAGAAGATGATGGAGCCCTTTTGCCAAGTGGAATTGAGCTATTGAATGATAAAGCATTCATGTTTAAAGTGTCGAAGCAGAAGGATCAGTTTGGATCTTACAAAGGTCCATTTACAGTTGCCCGCATTACAACTGATCCGATTTTGCTGAATCGATTTGGACATTTGCCAATAAATTCACAGGTTTTTACCTCATTAATTCTACTTATAATATACAAAATTATATTTTCTACTAATTTATATTTTCTAATAATGAAGGAATCAAATGGTGAACTGCTCATCCCAATCACAGTTGTACAAGCTAAAGTGAACAGCCCTAAAAGGGTTGTGCAGGCTGAACTGAAAGAGAACAACCCAATATGTGCTGCACATTCTGAAATGAACAACCCAATAAGGGCTGAAGATGATGAAGGTTACAGCCCAATAAGGGCTGTTAAGACTGAACTGTACAGCTTAAACAAGGCTGTAAAGTCTAAAGTTGACAGCCCAAACTGGGTTGCAAAGGGTGAAATTGACTGTTCACTTATTGCTGGAAATGGCTACAAGGAAAAGGTTAAGAAGAGGGATCAAACTGAGGTGTTTGGAGAAGGCTCAAGCTGTTCAGAGGAGCCAAAAGGGCAAAAGAAGATAAAGATTGAAAAATTTTGAAAGTTGAAAAAAAAATCTGTGTGCTTAGTAATTTCAGAAACAGTTTCAATTATGATTATGTATTCTTATCGCAATTACAAGAAATTCCATTAATAAATATTCCTGCTTCCTATTTGTTAATGTTTGTGCTATTCAAATACTTAAACTATATTCAGTCATAATATTAATCAGTCATTCAACAACATAGCAACAAGATTTGTTCTCTATCCAAAACAGCAAAACAGCTAAATTAATCAACAAATAACATAAACAGATAATATCAGTATTCTAAAGCAAATAGCTTAGTCAGTTCATTATTTTTTACTCGAATAAAAACATCGAAAATAGATCCATTAGTAAGCAATTAACTTCATCAGATTATACAAGTTGTCTAAAGCAAAAACCTATATCAGAATAGTGTTATAAACTATCTAATCATAACAGCAAAACAACACCAAGAAATAAAAACATCAGATATGATCATTTAGCACTTAATCATTTAACACATAACATCAAAACCGCACCAGGAAAGTACAATTTAAACACCAAAACACAAACAAAATCATGATGTGTTCAACATATAATAATTCCATCCAAAAAATATAATCATGCCTTTAGAAACAAAACTAATTAATTTGTTCAGTCTTACTACAACATAGCAACAGAATGAATGAAGATTCATTTAGTAATAATCATTTAGCACTTACTGAGTAAACTAAAAACAAATCATATAAGTGTTGGGCAAAACAGAAAGTAAAATTTTAACATCAAGTTCTAGGAAAGCATAGTATTTTCTCCAATGAAAACAACAAACACAAAGCTAAATGATTATTACTAAAAATTCTATTGGAATCGATTGATTGAGGGTCGGATAGTTCTTTGAAGTCTTTGAAGTTGAACAACAATCTCGGGTAGTTGTTTTCAACCACCTCATCCATTTTTGTCTCTTTACCAAACTCAAGCTTGTGACTTGATTCGGTTAATTTGAAAGCACTCTTGTCCTCCAAGAGTTCCCAACTTGTAATGATATACACGTGTCCTTCGGTAAGGTTGAAGTCTTTGAATTTTTTTGCCAACGAACCGGGCGCCGAACCATGAATCCGTTGTCCCTAAAAAAATTACAATATATCATTAGGAAATTAATATTTGGACACATATAAATGAATTACATAATAAGATGCAAAAAAAAATAAAAAAATTAAATACCTTAACATCATGAAATACGAATTCTAGCTCCCTAATGCTATCCTTGCTCGACTTGTAGAACTTGGGGAAGTATCTAACCAACCTCAGCTTTGCAGCCATTTTTCTGTTTTTGGCCAAGTAAGTTAAATTTTCAAAGTGTGAAATCATTTTGTTTTTGGGAATTTTGAATCTAGAAAAATTTTATTTTTGGGCTCGTGTAGGTGCTGATGGAATAGTGTATGGATTGGAGTGAGTGAATGTTGTCTTTTTTGGCTACTTATATAGGATTTGGGAATAAGCAAAAGGATTTAAATTAATGAATTAATAAATTAATTTAAATGATGATTACAATTTAAATAAATGATTGATTGACAAATTTAAGCAAATTGTATTTATACTTTGACCAACCACATTATATATTTAATTGTTAATATAATAATGAAATTGCATGAAAAAATAGGATATTTAATATTTAGTTTATATTTCAGTTGTGAGATTTTTGCCAAAAATATTGAACATTTAATATTCAATTTTTATTAGTAGTTATGAGATGAGAAAAAATCATGGGATTATGATTCTTTGATTGGCAAAAAAAATGGGTTAATTAATATTAAATTATTATTTGAGATAACTTTGTCACCTCTTCCGACTGGCGAAACATCATCGGAGAGTTTGAGTGAGATGAGAAAAATAATGAGATGTAGATTTTAAAACAGTAATTATCAAGCTGACTAACAAATTATGTGATTTTGATTTTGGAATTATATTATGATATTTGTACTCAATTATTTTGGCTGACATTTTGTTTTGTTATTTTTTCAGGAATGGAGGAATGGAGAGGAGATGGATATCTTAATTTTTTTTTTCAAATTTACTTTTTTCAGTTGGTTGTAATTTATTTAATTCTTTTATTTTTTTTATTAATTTCGTTTAGCATGGAATAATTAATTGCGATTGAAAATATAATTACTGATAATTGTTGACATTAATTAATATGCTTAAAAAAATATAGAAACATCATTAACTTGTTATCATTTCATAATTAATTAGTTATCTATCATAAAACAGTCAAATCTCAACCAAAATGTTTTGTTTTTAATAAAGAAAAAAAAAACTGAAAAAAATGAACAATAACGTAAATGGGCTGGAAACTGCAGCTAGGTATAATTTATTATGTTTAATTAAATGCACAATAGCTAGTAATTATATATATATATATGTGTATAGATGTTTGATAGACAAATAAACTATCTTATAGCTTATTTGATTAACTTTAAAGCTTTCTGTATTAAAATAAGTTTCGTTTGGTGGAACTAACTTTCTAAAAAGCTTGAGCTTATCTCATAAGGTTCTTTGGGTAGCTTTTCAAATAAGCTCGTTGAAATTTTTAGTTCGTCTAGTTTATCAGCTAATTTTACCGAAAACTTTATCATGTAAACTAGTTTTCCAGCTATAAGTTCCAAAATCGGTGATAAACTATAAGTTAGATTATCAGTTAATTTTAACAAACATAATCCACAATAAAATCCTCTATCATGATCTCAATTTACAGAACCTCGAATCCAGCCTCAATCCAGTCATCTATTTCTATCTGATGCAATGCCAATACCTCCAAAACACCAAAAATATCCTCACTAAACGTCTTCGAATCATCTCCCGACACAAATCCTCGAATCACGCCATCGATCTCGATCGAGCTGCACCCGGGCGTTTTCTTCATGCTTCGACTCCTAACAAACCTTCTTATCCTCGAAACCTCTTCCCACTTCCCGATATCTGCATATATATTCGCGAGCAACACAAGATTCCCCGTATCCTCCGGCTCAAGCACCAACAACTTCTCCATTGCAACAACCGCAGTCTCGACATCACGATAAGTCCTGCACGAGCTCAACAACGAACCCCATATGGCCGAGTCTGGCTCAACTTTCATGCTCCTTATGAGCTTCAAAGCCCGATCTATATGGCCCGTACGACCCATAAGGTCGACCATGCACCCGTAATGCTCAATCCCTGGCTCTATGTTGTAAACGCTGCCCATGGACTCAAAATACCTTAACCCCTCCTCCAATAGACCCGCATGGGCACATGCTGACAAGAGGCCCACAAACGTAACCTCGTTTGGGCCTATGCCGGCCCGACCCATGTCACCAAACAGTCGAATCGCCTCACGGGCCCTCCCGTGGTGGGCCAGCCCGGTAATCATGGTGCTCCACGAGACGACGTCCCGCTCAGCCATATCACTGAAAATTTGTAGTGCGGGACCCACGCAGCCGCACTTTGTGTACATCTCGATTAGAGCATTAGACACGCAAGTCTTTTTCAAGTGACCTTTTTGGCCCGCGTAGGAATGGATCCATTTCCCGAGCTCCAAAGAGCCCGATTGGGCGCACGCCGGCAGAACCGCGACCAAACTGATCCAGTCGGGCTGCAGCCCGTTCGCTTGCATTCTTCTGAACACGTTCATGGCCTCGTTAAAAAGCCCGGCCTTGGTGTACCCAGAAATCATGGTGGTCCACGACACGATCGTCTTATTAGGCATTTTCTTGAATAACGATTGGGCTTTTCTGATCCGACCCAACTTCGCATACCCAGAAATGAGGCTGTTCCAAGAAATCACATCTCTTTCAAACATTTCATCAAACAGCTTGTGGGCGTCGCTGATTTGGTCACATTTCACGTACATGTCCAACAAAGAGCTCTCTATCAGGCTATTGCGCGTCAACCCGAATTTGCAAACGTGCCCCTGAATCTGCTTTCCGGACCAAACACTCATAAGACCTCCGCAGGACCTAATCACGAACGGGTAAGTGAATCTGTCGGGAAAAATCTGCTCTTCAGCTTGCAAATGGTGGCTTAGCATCTTCTTGTACACGTCGACGGCCTGTACATACATGCGGTTGTGCGTGTAGGCTCTAATCATGGCGTTGTAGAGAAAAACGTTGGGCTCACAGACTTGGTGGAAGAGAATCGTTGCGTAATCGGTTTCTCCATTTTGGTCGCAGATGTCCAACATTCTTGTGACCAAGAAATTGCTCTGCGTCGTCAGTGAAAGCTTCTCCATTTGGGCGTGTATTGTTTTCAACTCCGTTGTTTTGTTACATCTTCTAAGTATGTGTATGAAGCTGTCTTCCAATCCTCTGATTGCCCAAACCCCGGCTCGTGCTAACATTCCCAAGCTTTCTTTAGTGGGATGTTTTTCTGGGATGCTTTGTTTTGCTGCAGTGAGCTTATTATTAATGCTCTTCTACCCACGGTGGGCACATATTAATATGCCTACCGTTTATGTGGCATTCACACATTGGTGATGTATTTTTTTGAACATATTAACATCACTAATGTGTGCATGCCACATAAGCGGTGTGCATATTAATATGTGCCTAGGAGAGCATTACTCTCTATATATAATAGTAACTAACACACATATGAACACGTTTCCCTTTAAACATTCAAATGCACAAAGTTGGAATTTCGTTGATCAAAGGGAGGCATTTGCTGGCCGTAGCGTCGAGAATGAGTAAATCTGTAAAATGAAGGAAAGAAAGCAAATGGAGCGATACTCTGAAGGGGTTATAACTCTGATCGAGAATCTGGAAGCACGCAAAAAGCCACGATGATCAGCATCAATTTGCAGACACCTCTTTAATCTTTTCAAAGGAAATTGGCTTTCCAATGTGAAACGATATGAATATCCTCTGTCGTTGAAGCTTAAAGCATATGGATATTGGAGTCTCGTGTGGAGGAAAGGCATGATAGCGGCATACACTATGAGCGCATGGCTTACATGTTCTTGCATTTGCTTGAAGAATTGCAACAAGGAGAAAGTTCCAACAACTTTACATTCTCAAGCAACTTATAGAGCATTATAGGCATGCTCTCATCTTAAAGCTAATCCAACAAGAATTGTCTGCGTAGCTATAACTCCTATAACTCCCGAATTCTGATAAAAAAGCTGTGAGGCAACACACATCCCCAAAATTTGCAGCAAACAAGGTTATGAACAATGAAAACTTGACAATGTCGAAGAAATAAAACCCTTTTCTTCTCGTAACAACAATAAAGAAAGGATAATTCCAAGAACTAACCCTACCCTAGACTAGTCCAAGGATCACTTGCTAGACTTCTGAATCCCAAATCTTACACAGAATCCAAATTTCTAGCAACAGACAACACATCGACATCATCATCAACATCAACATACCCAGTATATTCCCAACACATCGACCACAACCCAAATTACCACCAGGGCATAATCATCACAACCCAAAACTGTAAATACACCACTCACTAAGAAACAACAGAACAATACAGAAACTTAGATCAGAATCTGCAAAGCATTCAAGCATTAGCCACTGTCTGTTCTTCATCAAACTCAGGATGAGACCCACCTCTTCCCTCACTTCTTGAAACTTCCTCACCACCTTCCCCCGATTCCCCTCCGTCCTCAGCCACCTCATGCTTATAACTCGAACCGTACATCTTTCTCCTGGCCTCCCTACGTGCAGCCTTCTTCTCCAACTTGAGCTCTTCAAATTGCTTCTCGAAATTATCCTCGTCCTCAGGTGAAAAGAAGACAACCTCCATCTCGCCAAGCTCTTGGTACATCTTCTCGATCTTTGTTTTCCAGAAGAGGCCCATCTCAGTGTCCATCTTATGGTAGGGTGTTTTTAGTAAATACTCGTCTATCCCACCCGCCTTGTCTATGCAGCGTAGCGCGTGGGTTGTTACCTTAACACGGATGTGCCTGTCCAATATATAGCTGAAAAGCCGCTTTTCTTGCACGTTAGGTTTCCAGCTTCTCCTAGTCCTAAAAATTGGCATCGAGTAAAGAAGCATGAGAACGGGTTTATCGAAGGTAGATAAACAGCGTATGCAAAATTGAACCAGAAAAAAATAGTTCAACAGGTTAATTTTTAGTTTGATATATATAAAAAAGAAAATCAGAATATAGGAAGAGATACAACAATGTGACACTGAATGTAACGACTCCATGATTTAGTATCAAATCAAAATGCATTTATCCAAGAATCAAGGAAAATAAGCAGGATTTAAGATACGCATGGACGATTTTAAAAGGTGAAAGTTGGTTCTTCTGGTGAAACTATGCCAATAAACAATGAGTTAAATATATGCATGATTGACAAAGTGATCAAGAAAAGACAGCATGATAAAACAACCATGATTTGTGAAGCAAAGTAGCCGATCAGAAACAACTCCGAACAAACAAGGCACAACTCTGAACAAACAAGGCACGTGTTCAAACAACAATTCTTATCTAAATTATTTGAACTCAGCATCACAGTTCACAACAGCAGAAAAAACAGTCACTGGAGAATCTCTTAATGCACATATCTCAGAGCAATACCCTCAATTTTAATTCAAATAACCTTCATGCTTCCACACAAGGCCGTCGAAGGCTAAACTGAACAAGGCAAATGACATGATTAACAGGAGTAGTTTTGAAACTTCCACATACTTTTTTTCAGTTCCAAAGCCACAAGTTCACAAAACATAAATCAAATTAATCTGCCATCAATCATCCTTTCCTCCCATACACTTAGTTCCAGAACGATTCTTTGGCATCTCTGTATCTTAGTATAATACTGGTAAATTAATTAACATTGAACCCAAATTTATGAAAACTTCAGTTCTACTAACAATGGGGGGGAAAAACAAGCATAAATCTCCATACACAGACTATGGGAAAACAAAACTGGAAAAAAATAAAAGAGAGCAAAGAAATATATATAGACAGACTTGTTGCCGCCGTCTTCACTGACGCGATTCCCGAACTGGATATGTCGGCCCGCGAAAAGCCCACGGTGAGCTCGGCCCATCACGACCTTTCTATCAGGCACCGATTTTTTCAACTGCTCTTTCACTGCAGGCGCTAGATTCTGTTCGCCGCCGATTTTCTTCACAATCTTCTTCATCATTTCACGCGACCTGAACGCCATTGTCAATGAAGTTACTTTCTCCGCAGATTCTGTAGTCCGGGTGTAAAATGGATAGAAAAATTGATTTGGGGTTTTGTCAGTTGTTAGGGTTTTGAGGAGAACGCACACACTGATACAGATTGGGATTTCCCGATATGGAGTGCAAAAACAAAATGAAAGTTCAGGACAGCTGTGAAATCCCTGTGGGTTTAGATAAACACGAGCATCGAAGACGAGGGGTTCGAGTTACAGTCGAGGATTAACATCTGTAACTCGTTTTCCTTTTGGTTTTGAATTTGATCTTTTATTGATTAAATTATTGGAATCGACTAACCAAACCGAAATCGTGTATTACACAACGAACCGGAATAGAGACGAAACAATATGCACGGTTCCCGGAGAAAGTCATAAAAATCGAACTGAACCGTTCCCACCCTATAAAGTTACATTTTTTTTTTTTTTTTGTTTTTTCTATAAACGATAGGATTACTCATTAAACAAAAGATCAAAGATCTTATATTACAGGGATAGAATCCAAATAGCCGACGGCAAAGCCAAGGAGCACTACCCAAAGGAGTAGGCTAAACTAGAACAATAAAGACCACCAAAGGCAGGATAAAACCCGAGACCTCCAGGGATAAATAAATCAGATAAAATACAAAGAAACCGAAACTGAACAACTAACTATCCACTGAACTACATGCATAGACCTAGATAGGAATATTGTCATGTCTCGGCTCCTTTCTGCAAATACAACTGCTATCTTGCCATTCCACCAATGCACCCTTAATAATACTGAGATCCGGCCTCCAAAATCCTTCAAAAACCCACAGATTACGCGACTTCCAAAGCCACCAAAGAATATAAGCATTGAGCTCTATTCTTTCTTCAGCAACTTTGGATTTGTCTATAGAACAAATGGTGCCCCACCAATCCTCAAACCTGCAGTTATCCACTTTGATGCCATCCCAGCTAACCGGTGCATGCTTCAAAACTCTTCTAGCTCGAGCACAAGTAAGGAACAAGTGCTCAACAGATTCAGCTTCCTCTCCACAGCAAGGACAGATAGGGTCAACATCAACTCATCTGCTCTTCAGATTTAATATTAACAGGCAAAGCATTAGTGAAGCATTTCCATAAGAAGTGTCTAATTTTTCCCTTCACCTTGATACTCCAGCATCTGTGTCTAGTCTGTTGGTTCCTCAGAATAGTATCACTGCCCTGAGAGATATCCATAGCCAGCAGTTTCCTATTGTGCAAGTAAGCATAAGAGGAGGAGACAGAGAATTTACCTCGAGTTCCCATATTCCAGCACCATTTGTCATCCATTTGAGCATCAAAAGTTGGAATTATTTTCAGAATTTCAGAGCAGTCTTCCTCTTCCATCTTATCTCTGAGTAGTTGCTCATTCCAGCCAGCACCTTCCACTAAGAGGTCTTTCACCCAAACCTTACCAGTGTCAGGGCCCCCTTTGAGTTTGAGACTTCTGTTCCTAATCCCAGGGACCCAGTTGAAGTCTTGCAGCTTCACATAATAGCCATTCCTTATCTCAACATTGAGACCTTCTAATAGCAGCCATCTTACCTTAAACCAGGATCTCCAAAGCCAAGAAGAGCTGGCTTTCAACTGAGCTTCAAAGATAGATGAGTGGGGAAAATATTTGCTTTTTATGATCCTGCTCATGAGAAGGTCTGGCCTTGTAATCACCCTCCATAGTTGTTTTACCAACATGGCTTCATTGAAAAGCTTGATATCTTTAAAGCCAAGGCCTCCCTGTTTTTTGGTCAGAGTGAGAAGGTCCCACCTTTTCCAATGAATCCCAGGTGAGTGATCACTGCCCTTACTTCACCAGAACCTAGCAAAAATGGCAGCAACTTCCTTGCAGATATTGAGGGGCAGTCTGAAACAGAACACGACAAAGAGGGGCAGTGCATTCAAGACTGATTTCATAAGGACCTCCTTACCAGCTGAGGACAAGAACTTGGTTTTCCAGCTCAGAATTCTGTTCTTCACTGCCTCAGAGGCAAAGCTAAACACTTCTTTTTTTGAGTGGCCAATTCCCAAGGGGAGTCCCAAGTATCTTGTAGATTTCTGAATATGGATACCAGGAAAGCAATGACACACTGCTGCCTGAACTTGAGTGCTGGTGTTCTTACTGAAGAACACAGAGGATTTGGAAGTATTAATTTTCTGGCCAGAGAAGGCTTGGTATCTGTCAAGAATTGAAATGATCACCCTTGCTTGGTATTCAGAGGCCTTGCAAAACAAAAGAGAATCATCTGCAAAAAGCAGATGTGAGATGGAGGGAGCTCCTCTTGCAATGGATAAGCCACTAAAGGTGCCTCTCTCCTCTTCAACTGTGATCACTGCTGAGAGCAATTTAGAGACAATGATGAATAGGTAGGGGGATAGAGGGTCCCCTGCCTAATTCCCCTCTGAGCCCTGAGATGACCACTAACATTGCCATTGATGATAAATGAGAAGGTAACAGTTGAGATGCATTACATTATCCAGGAAACAAATTAAACAGCAAACCCCATTTTAAGCATGGTTAATCTGATACATCTCCATTCTATTCTGTCAAAAGCTTTCATCATGTCTAGCTTTATAGCCATATAGGAATGTTTACCAGATCTATGCCTGTTGAGGAAGTGAAGCCCCTCATTGGCAATGACTACATTATCAATCAACTGTCTACCAGCAAGAAAAGCAGATTGGGGATCATCAATGCAATCATCAAGGCATATTCTCAGTCTACTGGCCAGAATTCTAGATATCAGTTTATATATGACAGCACATAGACTAATGGGTCTAAATTTACTGAGATGATCAGGATTTTCACCTTTAGGCACCAAAGTGATAAGGGTGTGGTTCCAGTAGTTGAGGAGCTTACCAGAATGGAAGAAACTGATGACAGCTTCACAGAGGTCAGACTTGACCAATGGCCAAAAATGCTGAAAGAAGAGAGCAGGCATTCCATCAGCTCCTGGAGATTTCCTTGGATTCATGGAAAATAGAGCTTGTTTGATTTCTGCCTCCTCTACTGGTGCTACCAGATCCCCATTGATAGAGTCTGTGATGGTGTGAGGTATGTGCTGCAAAAGATTGTCCTCCCCAGTTGAGCCTTGAGATGTGAACAGATCTCTGTAGAAGGACTCCACATGACTCTCTATTTCCTCAGTAGTTTCACAGACCCTTTGCTGATCAGTCACAAGTCTACTGATAGCATTAAGTCTTCTTCTTTGTAGCACCCAAGCATGAAAGAAATGTGAGTTCTGATCCCCTTCTTTAAGCCACTGGGCTCTAGCCTTTTGTTGCCAGAACATCGCATCAGTTAGATTGGCCTCATCCATCTCTTTTTGTAAGTGATCCCATTCCTCCCAGTTCCTGTTGCCCCCAGTTTCCCTCATGGCTTGCAGTTTAAGGGATAAACCTTCTTTCTTGAGGAGCTGTTGAGTTTTGAAGTGTTTGCTCCACTAGAGGAGGGCTATCCTGGTACATTTGATTTTCTCTTTGAGCTTGAATAGGGGAGTGCCATCCTGGGGATTATCCCAAGCTTTTTGAACAACCTCATCTAAGCCAGTCCTGCTTATCCACCTTTTATCGAAATGAAATCATTTTTTGTAGTAACTTCTCACAGGATCATCCTCAAGCACAAGAAGATGGTGATTAGATGAGCTTTTGAAATAAGAAGTAGTTTGAGTTTGAGGGTGACTGTTAAGCCATCCTATAGATGCATATGCCTTATCAAGAACTTCTTCTACAAATCCTTCATGCTCCCTGTTGTTTCCCCAAGTGTAAGGATACCCCTTTCTCATCATCTCTATCATACCCATATTGGCTAGAAATGTTTGAAATCCCAACAGACTGGATAAGGTTCTCAATCTGCCTCCTCTTTTGTCTTCCACACTTGCTACATCATTCCAATCCCCTATGATGCACCATTTTTCCCCCCACAGATTCTTTCTAGCCTTCAGATCCAACCACTGACTCTCCCTTGTGCTTTTGTCTGTACTTAGATAAATAAATATCATCCATCTCAGCTGAGAATTATCACTTGTACTGAATTCAACTTCAATGCAGTGGGAATCACTAATAAGTTGATGAATCTCCACTTCTCTGCTCCAGGCCAGCATAAGCCCTCCACTTAGACCCCTTGGCTCTACTAGTCTGTTCCTGTCTACATAACCCAGCTTCTTGCATACAGTCAGAGTGAAAAAATTAGTATTTTTGGTTTCAGATAGAAAGACAAAATGTGGGTGGTGGGCTCTTAAAGTGTCCCTCAACTGGGAAACTGTGGAGGCTCCACCCAAGCCTCTACAGTTCCACACCACAACCTTCATTGGTCACTGTGGGGCCATTTGAGGCTGGCCTTCTCCACCTAATCATTCAAGTTCTTCAGTTTCTTGGGAGCTGATTCTACTAATACCTGGTTTTCATCCACAGTGGTCATGGTTGTGCCCTCATTCCTTTCTCTTTTGACTCCTTGAGATTGAGCCTGAGACAGTGTGTTTACCTCTTTGTCCCTCTGCAGTCTCCCTACTTAATCCCTGCTCTCTTCTATGTTTTCTGCTGATTAGGAATAATATCCATAGGCACTGAAGGTAATGGAGATCTTTCAGTCAATAGTGGGCCCTGCAAACTCAGGTTAGCATCCTTCTCTCCACTGACAGGAGTTTGGGGTGTTTCTATATTCTTGCCAAGAGTAGAGCTGGTATTCTTAGCCATGGATTCTATCATATCAGATACCCCATTTGAGCTGTGAAATTCCTGTCTAGATGAGCTAGACTCAACTAAGCTGGGGATCTTCTGTATGGAAGGAATACTTTGGGGTTGATCATCTGCTTTGTCTGTAAGGAGCTTTATACCTCCTGAGGCCAGGTCTTCATTCTGATTGTGATGTTGAGTTTGGTTCATCTATGAGGATGTACTAGCTTCCTTGTCTGAGGAGTTGTTGTACTGGCCAGATGAGAATGCAAATTTCGTTTCTCCAGCTTTCATCCAGTCCCCATATTGACCACTTTTGATAACTTTATTGCCAATGTCATCCAGTTTCCTTTTACAATCCCTATCAAGATGTCCGATTTCCCCACAGTAATAACAAAGGTTCACTAACCTCTCATATTTGAAGCATACTGTGGTAAGCTGATCTCCCAGTCTGATGGAAGTGCATTTGGGCAGAGCTTTGTTGACATCAATCGAAGCTAGCAAACGGATGATTCTGCCACCATTTCCCTCCACATTAGTGATCATGACATTCTTGACATCATGAAACACCTGCCCAAGTTTGAGATCCACATCCAGGCTCAGCCAATCAAGGGGAACATTGTAGACTTGAACCCAGAGGTCTAATGAGTTGAAACACGGATCTGTCAATGTAATGCCTTTCCTCCATTCTTTTAATATTAGGTACTGGTTTTCGTAAATCCAGTTGGTGCCCAGCAACACTTTGTTTAAGTCACCTCTGCTCTCAAAAATGAATTGGAAAAAATTTGGACTGATTTCTCTGACCTCTAGGCTATGTTGGATACGCCAGATTGCTGTCATAGTTCTTTTGAAGCCAAATAGCGATGCGGTCCGAGAGCTTATTATTTTCTCAACCAAGCTTCTACTGCATTCCTCCTTACTAACGCGAATATCGTTGTTGGCTATGTCGATAATGAGATTTTCCGAACCAGCGAGTGAACATTCTTGCATTCTTTGGGTCATTTCTTCAGCAACACTAGCAAATTCGTCTTTCCCCGCCATTGGGAATCGAAGGAACTAGGAGCTGCCAAAAACCCTTAATAATATGAGAACACTGAGAGGAAATTGGGAGAGAATCAAAAGGCCTTCAAAGAAGGAATGGAAATCCTAATCCTAGGGAATCGCCTCTCACAGGAGAGAATTGGACACTGCAACTCTTCTTAATTAAGCATCCTATAAAGTTACATAAGACGGTCATCTGTAATCTATATATACATATGATGATGACGTGTATGCTCGTTTCACAATTTACCAAAGTTTCAATCTCAACCATACATTAAAATAAACTAGTGCGTAGTCCTGTGCGATGCACGGTTAAATATTATTAAATAATAATTATAAATAAGTCTCGAGTTTGAGTGGTGGGGAACCATTATCCTATTTTAAAAGAGCAAAAAAAAAAAAAATATTATAAATTTAAGATGTGAGGTTAACATGTGATATAATTTACCGTCGTATATCAGTTTACTATCAGCAATAAAAAATTAACTTGTGTAAGAGAACATAAAGATTGCATGTTTAAAATATTAAAAACATGTAAAAGTATGTACTGGTTTATGTATTATTATTAAAAGATGTGAAGTCACCTACAATTCTTTTAAACTATTTTGGAAAGAAAACATGTTTAAAAACATTTGAATTTTACATTTGTATGAAAGATGTTTTCTAAACTCCATTGTAAAGAAAACATGTTTAAAAATATTTATATTTAATATGTATATATATATATGTGTGTATGTACATAGATATAATATGACATGATAAAATATTATATAAAAGTATCTAAAATATCATAAGTCTAAATAAATTATATAAAAAATAAATAATGACATGATATCGAG